CAGACTCCAATCTGGCTTACATTCTGACACTTCATTACAGCCAGTCATCTAGTGTTTGGTCTAGATAATTCTGTTTTCTAAAAAATAACTGATAAATAAATATATTTTAATAGTCGAATATTATCTTATAACTTTTAAATTTAAATAAAATAAAATAATATTCTATAATTAAAATATATTTTATAACTTTTAATAATTCGAATATTTAAATATGAAATACATAAAAATTATCCTATGATTTGTCAGCCATCCACTCTAAAATCATTAAAACTTTATTGGATTGCGGATATTAAAAAGTAATTTTATTATTATTTTTTAAAATAAAAATAAAAATAAAAATATATAAACCTTAAACGTGACAAATTTATGTATATGCCTATGAAACAATACCCACATGATGATGCCATCTTATTACAGCCAGTCATTTGGTGTCTGGCATGGATAAATCTATTTTGTTTAACAAAAATATCTGATAAATAGATATTTTGTTGTTTTAATCAAAGTTTTAATCATCATTAGTCTCTGATTGGTACAACTAGAACCACATGACCGGCAAGTGCACCATCAAATTCCAATCGGCGACGTAACCTTGTGGAAGATATGCATTATGGAATCCACAAAAAATGTGCTTTTAAAGTCAAATAAAGTGAAAGATGTTTACTTTTCCCTACTTATCGGTTAGTGTGGTCAGACTAACTATTAAAATTTGGGTAAACTACTAATTTAGTATGTAAACTATCAGTTTTGATTCATTTAAGTATCTGAACTTTTATTTTTTTAAAAATCATACATAAAATTTAGTTTTTGTTTCATTTTAGTGTCTCGATGTTAAAAACTTTACGCGTTTAGTATATAAACTATCAATTTTGGTCCGTTTTAATAACCGAACTTTCATTTTTTTTTCAAAAACTTAGAGTGCGTTTGGTTCACGGAATGTAAGATTATCAGTGAGAATAAAAAATTACCAGGGAATAGGATTATTGAGAATGTTGTATTTTGTGTTTGGTTGATTTAGCAGGAATGTAAGATTACCGTGTTTGGTTAAATGAATAAAAGGTTATTGGAATGTATATTTGACCAAATTGTCCTTATTATATATTTGTTTTTTAACAAGTTGGAAAATATTTATATATTTTCTTTAAAAAATTTAAATTCATAAAATTTATATAATTTTTTTACAAAATTTAAAATATAAAAAAGTTTAATGAAAGGTTAAAATTTTATTTTAACCCTTGAACTTCATATAAAATTTTAATTATAGATTTTTTTGTAAATCTAAAATAATTTAAGGAGAAATTTGTAATTTAACATTCGTAAAATTTTTATTATTCAATGACATAATAAGGATATTTTTGAAATAATTTTTTTTAAGGGCATTTTAGTCCAAAACGTCGGTAATCCAACAATACCTAAGGAAAGTGAGATAATGACATTCCCGATAATATACTCCAAAAAATTCACTATTGGTAATATAAGATTACCGGGAATGACATTCCCGACCAACCAAACATTGGAATATGGATTCTATTCCCATGAGAATCTCACATTCCCCAAACCATTCCCATGGGAATCTCACATTCCCCAAACCATTCCCATGAGAATCTCACATTCCCCAAACCAAACACTAATAGTTATGGATGAAAATAATTAGATTGGAAAGATTGTTTCTTATTGGACACTAATAGTTATACAAAATATAAAAACTCAAAATACAAAATTAATTTGAAAAAAAAGGCTTAAATGCATCATTGCCCCCTAAAGTATACCTTTTGTATCGAGTTGTCCCCAAAGTATTTTTCGAGACGTTTTATCCCCTAATGTTTAAATTGTTACATCGTTTGCTTCAAAGGCGAGGACAACCCCAAGTTGTTGCCTTGTCTACCACAGTTGGCTATTGTTGCTGAGTTCGCTGTTCTTGGTTGACCTGGAGTTGAGAACTTCAAAACATGAACTCGAAGGGGGGCTTGGTGTTGAAAACTCTGCTTCTGCTTCTTCACCAGTTCACACAGTCTTGTTCAAAGCATTCCACCACCAAATGCTCTCCTGGGAACTTCAATGAACAATTTTAAGGGAGAACACCAAAAAACAAAAGCTTTCTAATATTATTATATTTTATGTGCTAATTTTACATATTACAAGTTTATAAAATAAATTGAATCGGGTTAGGTGAGTAAAACGGAATAAAAATTTAAGATTAGTGATGATTTTGAAAAACAAAATAATAAAGGACCAAAAACAGAACTGTTAGAATGATTGAATGACTAAATTTATAATTTACCCTTGCTATTTTTAACGGAGTTCACTGTTTAGAGCAGACGAAGAACGATTTAAACTTTAGGGGTAATGATGTATTTAAGCCAAAAAAAAATGAATAATAATAGTACACCCACGCATTTTTTTCTTGTCCTCAATTATTGGAGCTTATAAATCTTGAACTAGGAAGTTTGCTTATAAAACTTAAACTAGGAAGTTTACTTACGAGCTTAAGTTATAAGCTTTGATTCGTTCTCATACTATTCGACAAAGATGGGTTCAACTGAAGCACAAAAACCCCATGTTGTTTGTATTCCATTTCCTGCTCAAGGCCATGTTAACCCAATGATGCAGTTAGCTAAGCTCATACACTCTAGAGGCTTCCACATAACCTTCGTCAACACCGAGTTCAACCACAGACGCCTGGTTCGATCCAAAGGTGCCGAAGCCATGAAAGGTTTGCCGGATTTCAGGTTCGAATCGATACCCGACGGTCTACCGCAGTCCGAACGAGACGCGACTCAGGACGTCCCCTCGTTATGCGATTCGACGAGGAAGAATTGCTTGGCGCCGTTTTTGGAGCTTTTGGCTAAGTTGAACTCTTCGGACGTACCGCCTGTTGGTTGCATCATCGCGGATGGCATTATGGGGTTTGCTATTGAAGCTGGTCGATTGCTTGGGATACCTGAGTTCCACTTTTGGACTGCCTCGGCTTGTGGTTTCATGGGTTATTTGCAGTATAGTGAACTGCTTCAAAGAGGCATTGTTCCATTCGAAGGTGACATATCCCTAAATTCGTATATTTTTATCATGTGACGATCGAAAGATCATTAAACATTTGCATATTTATATCATATTCACGTGATATGAGATTTCTTTTCCAGACGAAAATTTCATCAACGATGGCACTCTAGACACACCGATAGATTGGATCCCTGGTATGAGTAACATGAGGCTCAAGGATATCCCAAGCTTTATAAGAACAACGGATCCCAATGATATAATGTTTGATTTCTTGGGGTCCGAAGCTCGAAACTGCTTTAAATCTTCAACGATCATCTTCAACACATTCGATGAGTTAGAACACGAGGTGTTGGACGCCATTGTTGCCAAATTCCCACGTATTTATACCTTGGGTCCATTGAATTTGCTTAGCAGACATGTCCCTGAAAGCCGATTAATCTCTCTGAGTTCGAGCTTGTGGAAAGAAGACAGCAACTGCATCGAATGGTTGAATCAAAGGGAACCAAAATCCGTGGTTTATGTGAATTATGGGAGTATAACTGTGATGTCCGATTATCATTTCAAAGAGTTCGCTTGGGGGCTCGCAAACAGCAAGCACCCTTTTTTATGGATCGTGAGACCTGATGTTGTGATGGGGGAATCAGCTGTTCTTCCTAAAGAGTTCTTCGAGGAGGTTAAGGACCGAGGGTTCATCGGGAGCTGGTGTCCTCAAGATCTCGTGTTGTCCCATCGATCCGTTGCGGCTTTTCTCACGCACTGCGGATGGAACTCGACGCTGGAATCCATTTCGAGAGGTGTGCCTGTGATTTGTTGGCCCTTCTTTGCCGAACAACAAACGAATTGTCGATTTGCATGCACCACGTGGGGCATTGGCATGGAAGTTAACCCTGATGTGAACCGGAACGATGTTGAGGCTCTTGTGAAAGAAATGATAGGAGGTGAAAACGGGAAGAAGATGAAGGACAAGGCCCTGGATTGGAAGAACAAAGCTGAAGTTGCCACCGATGTCGCAGGATCTTCTTACAATAATTTCGACAAATTCATCGAACAAGTTCTCTGTGCATGTCTCGATTAAGAAGAATCATGCGTGATTGTCGGATTTAAACAAATCCATAATTTCACTTTATATCATTACGTCGCCATATCTTAGTACTCGTGTTCGAATCTATCAAATAAATGTATCTTAGAGGGAAAAATAGCCCGAGTAATAATAGTACTTTGTAAGTTTGTTTCCTACATAATAAAACCAGCAATTGGTGGATTATATTTAGTTTTTTGCGTACCTTTCAATCTGTTTTGCTGCCTGTGCGGTAGCGTCCCGGTTTAGCCGGAGAGATCGGATCAATAAGGGCGGATATCAAAGGCTTGTGTAGCTCTTTGGGTTTCTCGACATTGACGGCATGCCCTGCATTCTTTATGATCACTAGTTCTGCATTCTCTCCCAGATGCCTGCGTTACACGGCCATTATAGGAAGTCGATTTTTAGCTATGTTACTCGGATTTTCAGAACGTTTTATCTCTATACCAAGGTTCAGATATGTTCCGAATCGAATACGGGTTAAAAACAGAGATATTGAGGTTTTGATGCTTGTATAGTACTCGAGAATGAGAATGCCTGACCTTTTCAATCTGTATCCCAACTCCGAAGGGAATATCTGGTCGTGTTCTCCCCAGATAATCACCGCTGGCTGCACAATACAACAATATATGTAGAGGCTCAAATAAAGATGGTAATCATGTTCAGATATGTGTTAAATAATCACCAATATTTCAAGAAACAATAACCTGGGTTATGTTTGGAAGATCTGAAAATTTTGTCCTTGTGTAGTACTAGGATCAATTCTTTTCTCTCTTCATAGTGCTCTGTACACATGACCTGCGGTTCGATCGACAGAATTAGAAATTGATGAACTGATGGGTTCAAATGAATTCGGGTAATTTGACTCACATGGATGAAGTCCTTTAGAAAGCAGGAGGGAAGTCTTTGAGTAGGCTTGTGAAACGAGATCTTCATCAACTCTCTAAGCTTATCTGGCTTTTGGGCCAACAGAATATCAACAGCTTCATCCACGTTCTCCACTTTGAACATCCCTTCTTCTATGTCTTTATCTTCCAAACACACCCCACGCAGCATAGCACCAGCTTCTCGATCCTGTCGTTAAACTGCGCCGCCATGCTGTAACCCACGAACCCGCCATAGCTGATCCCGACGACGTTCATCGCGGTGACAACACCGAGGGCCTCCATGACCCGGATCACGCACCGGGCCTGGAATTGCTCCGACCTTTCGGGTCGGGTCGTGTAGGAGCCGCTGAAGAAGAGGAGGTCCGGGACGTAGACTTTGAAGCGGGAGATGATGGGTGAAACGAAGTCGTTCCATTGCCACATTGCGTTGACTCCAAAGCCGTGGATGAGGGCTAAAGTCGGCTTGGACTGGGAATGGGATTTCAGGACCCAGACGTGCATGACGGTTCCGTCACCGAGGACCGTCGTCGATGATCGGAGACTGACGTTGGAGAAGCTGTAGGGGAAGCACGAATCCCGCGTTGCGGTGAAGCTGAAACACTTGACCATATTATGAAGTTATCGCTTGCTCCTGGGTTTCGGTTTGTAGGACATAATCATGGAAGGGAATGAATGAACTCCATTCTTTTTTACTGGGTGAGAAAATCTATAAATTGAAGAGTCGGTTGGTGGTTTAGCGTTTGCAGGCGGACCACTGAAAGGTTTTTCTGGATATGGGAAGTAAATGTCAAAAATGTTGGTTTCAATCCACGATGTTTGTGTTCTGTTTATTTATTTATTTTTAAATATTTTATCAAAATCCTTTATATAATATGAGTTGGTCACCTTCTTGTTTGTTTTTTTAAATATTTTCCCAAAAACAAGATTCTTGCACTTGTCCTGTGAGTCAATACCCAAATGATGCAAGGATGTATCAAAATCATATTCTAAAAATTGTATTAGTTCATACTAGAAATCTCTCAATTGTTATTATAAACCAAAAACGAACCCATTAATATTATTTTTTTATAAAGAATGCATGTGTATCATGTAGGATGTATACACGTTGTCAATATCTTAAAATTTTTTTTGAACAGATAGTAAATCGATATATTATATTGCACTCCAACCAGCTTTTTTCCCAACACCCCTTTCCTTCATCATTTCTCTGATCCGCTGTGCTTCCTCCCACCATCCCATAGAACTAAACATGTTCGAAATCAATATATAGTACCCATCGTTTTCGGGATCAGAATCAATTACTCGCTTTGCTATCCTTATTGCCATCTCACTTTCATTGTGAAAAACACAAGCACTTAACAGAGCTCCCCATACACCCCCATCAGGAGAGAGGGGCATTGACATAACCAGGGCTTCAGCTTCCTGAAGATTACCCGATCTGCCGAGAAGGTCCGTCATGCAAGCATAATGCTTCAAATTCGGCTTTACGGAATAATGTTCCATTCTGCTGAATAAAAACTTCCCTTCTTCAACAAGGCCCGCATGAGCACAAGCATTGAGAAGAGAAAGGTAAGATCATTCGGTTTAGCATTCGATTCTTCCATCCGCTGGAAAATCTGTAGTGCTGATTTCGCATCTCCGTGCATTGCGTAACCTGAGATCATCACATTCCAAGAAACTACATCCTTCTCCTTCATTGAGGGGAACAACTCTCTCGATTTCTCTATTTGCCCACACTTTGCATACATGTCAATCAGTGCAGTAGCAAGAGATTGACAGAGCCTGTAGCCTCCTTCCTTGATGTAACAATGGATCCTTTCCCATTTCTCCCAGGATGCGAGATGAGAACAAGCTGAAAGCACGGTTAACAATGTTGCCAAATCGGGCAACGAATTTCCCGAAAGCATTTGATCAAATAAAACAATAACCTCAGAAAAATGTCCAGAACGAGTACAGGCTGACATCATTGTGTTCCATGTGATAACATCTCTCTGTGTTTGATTAAAGATCCTCCATGCAACGGTTAAGTTCCCACTCTTCCCATACATATCTATGAGAGAATTAGCTACCGAAATGTTGTCAGCCATGTAAATTTTAACTATCTGGCAATGAAGTTAGCGGCCAATACGGATTGCTCTGAGTCGAGAACACGAAAAGATAATGTAGACCAAACTGTTTGAATCAAAAACAATTCTATAGCTTTTGCTTCTTGTCCCGTCTTACAGTAACCATGAACCATTATGTTCCATGACTCTTTGCTCTTGTTGCCTATTATGTTGAAGAGCTTCTCTGCGGTAGATAGGAGTCTAAACTTGCAGTACATGGATAAAAGTGCATTATGAACCAGCTGATCTAACAGAAGATTCCTCCTTATGATCAATCCATGAAATACCTTTCCTTCACATACACTCATGAAATTTCCGAAACCTTGAACTAATCAAAATTCCATAGGCACTTAAGCGATCAACTTGCATTTCCCAAAACATATCTAAGCATTCCTTCATAAGCCCAAATCTAGCATTCACACTGATAATCGATGTCCATGAGATGATATCTTTATCAACAACTTCACAAAATCAAGCAAATGAATCCCCAACACTCCCACACCTAGAATACATAGACAAAATCGAAGACTGAACAAGAGGATAAGCCCCAAGTCCAGTTTTCACCACAAAACCATGTAAACACTTACCCTCGTCCGAAGCACACAAATTCCCACAAGCCTGAAGACCACCTTCCAATGTCCTGGAATTTGGCCTCGTTTCACCATCGTTGCCGATTCTATGCATGTCGCAAAGACATTCCAAACCTTTCTTACTCTCCCCATTTTGTACATACCCAATTAGAAGAGCCGTCCACGCAACCACGTCTTTAACAATCATTTCGTCGAACACAAGACGGGCATCCCCCGTCGAACCACATTTCGCATACATAAACACAAGAGAGGACTCAACCGCGGAATCCACCACGAAAAGACCAGATTTGGAGACCAACCCATGAACATATCTCCCACAAAAGTCCCACCCCCAGCTCAGCACAATCGGAAACAACCACGGGAATAGTGAAATCATTAGGAAGAGTACTGGACAATCTCATTTTAAGATAGTACACAAAAGATTCAGAGTAGTTCCCGTTGAAGAAATGGGATTTAATGACCGAATTCCAAAGGAAAACATCCTCTTTCGAGACGGGGATCGAATCATAAAACCCTGGTGGAACAATGGGGTTTGTTGAAAAAGGCGTACAAAGAGATGAGCTTTGAGGATATGAAAACGTTGTCGTTTGAGTTGCCGCTGGCGATGATGAGGGGCATGGGATTGAAGAAGGGATCGGAGAGTTGAAGAAGAAGCGCTGGAGGAGAGGAAGGAGTCCAAGTGACGGTTAAGGTAGTTGGAAGTTGAATAAGACAACAACTGATGATGAGAAGAGGCAAAGCGTTGTTTCAACAACTGTGTTGGTTTGAGTTTCAGCATCTGTTTTCCAGTGTGGAAAAAGATGGGATTAACTCCATTTTCGTACTCAGCTACTTGGGGGAAAAAATTGTTACTCCATTATTCAACGATTTTGTTAGGGAAAACTATCTCGGAGACCACTTAATTATAGTAATTTTTTTATTTTGACATTATTTTTGATTTTTTATTAATCAGACCATCAAACTATTTAAATACATTTAATCAGGTCATTTGCAGTTAACAGTTAACAGAAGTGTTAGTGAAATTGGTATAATTATGCATTTAGTCTCTATTACTTATGTATCTATCGATTTAGTCCTAATTTTAATTTAATTTAAAAAATTCACTCTCTAACATGTCAACGGATCATTATTACACATTTCTTTAATAAGACCATCACCACTTGATTGGATAAATTTTTCTAAGTCAATTTTAATATTTCAATTAAATAAATTTTTCAATCAATTAGATAGTGACATGTGTCACCCCATTTTTAATGAAAAATAAATCAAACCAATTTGGCATTTGAGTGAATCAAACCAACACCCAAATGCATTTCAATCGACGCCTCAACCACCGGTGCAAAGCCTACGCCTGTTATGTGATTTCAAAATATTTTATATATTGCGGTTTAGATTATTGCTCGCTGAAGATGAAAAAGTTTTGATGCAAATTCAAAATACATATTTGAAAAAACTTATATATACTTAATCTGCTAATATTTTTTTTAAATATGTTAATGGCAAATATTTAAAGTAAATGTATTTAAGATTTATATATTTAAATTATCTTTTTTTTTTATCTTTTTATGATTTTTTTTAAATGATTATAGATTTAAATAAAATTAGAAATAATTTTAAAAATCTTTTGAAGACTATAATTTAATATATGAATTACAAATTTATCTTGTCATTTAAGTTGTGCTCGTAACTTTAAGTTTAAAATTTTAATATAATTTTATTTTTAAAAAGAAAATAATTTAATTTTACAATTATAAAAATATAAAAAATGAAAAAAAAATTGGTCCAACAAATTTTAATGTTTTTTTTATATTCTTATAATTATTTTTAAATGATTATAAATTTATTTTTCCCCACTAATAACAGATATTTAATGTTATATAAATTAATAATGTAATTACTTTTCAAAAGTTTTATTTGTTCCGATGATTAAGGTGCACCCATTTTAAGTTAAAATCCTCATGTTTGAGTTCTTTTAATTCCCTTTTATAGTCTTTGTGACATGTTATATGTCTTATGACACGTTTATTTTTATCTTTGTGATACGTTTTTCTCTGTCTTCTGGTAGTTTACAATTTTTTTATTTTTTCGTTTATCTTTTTTCACATGATTGATTTGATATCGTCACGATTAATCAAGATGACGCTTATTTGTTATATTTTTGATCTTCCATGTTTTGGACCCTCGAATTGATTTGGATACGCGTTTTGCGCTCGTGGATAGTTTTCTCATGTTGCTTGACTCTTATTTGCGATTTATCGATGATCTTTCAGTAGGTTCATCCCCTATTGTAATGCATTCATATTTGTTCGTATCTTTATTTTATTCGAGCATTTGTTAAGTTTTTTAACTTTTTCATTTTATGATTCTTGTGTGATATAGGTGCCTAGTTTTTGTGTTAATAGTTATAGAAAAATATCATAATTATAATTTAGTTTACAGTTATGCTAAATCTTTATTGTAGTTATGAATATTTTATATTTTTAATAAAACTAATCGTTTTATATAAAAAAACACCTTTTATTTTATTCTTTCTGCCATAATATAAAACATAATATATAAACTTTTTGCAATCAAATTCCCAAAAATGGGGTTTACCCCAGTGGCTTAGGCGCTCGTTGAATTGCACGTTACCCTGTGATCGATTCCTTCCATTTGCAATTTAAATTTGTTGCTTTCCATTAAATCAGGTGGTGCATGTGTCACTTGATTTGTGAATGTATTATTTAATTAAAATAAATTTTAAATATTGAAACATGATAATGCCTGATTCAAGATTATTTTTTGAATTAAACTAAAAAAAATATGACTAAATTGATAGAATATATAAGTAATAGGGACTAAATGTATAATTATACTAATTTTATTAATTCGTTAACTATTAAGACAAGTGGTTTAATTGAATATATTTAAATAGTTGGGTGGTCTGATTGATAATAATTCAAAAATTGTAATCAAAATAAGAAGGGACTATAATTGGGTGGTCTCTAGTATAGATTACCCATTTTGTTATTAATAAGTTTTAGAGTAAAGAACGCAAATGGTCTATGTCAGTACTATTTTATTAAGTTATTTGATTATTAAAAATTATAAAATGATCATTCGACTATGGAGTGTTACTTTGTTGAGTCATTTGACTATTAAAAGTTATAAAATTGTCACTCGACTATTTATTATGTTCCAAACTCATCTTTTTCCGTTAAAAAATGAAAAAAATGATCTCAAAATCTCAAACGACTATCATATCACAGTCATCATGTTAACATATAGCTTAAACAAATGTCAAATTTTTAACGAAAAAAGATAAGTTTGAGACATAATAAATAGTCAGATAATCATTTTGTAACTTTTAATGGTCAAGGGACTTAACAAAACAACACTCCATAGTCGAATGACCATTTTGTAACTTTTAATAGTCGATGTATTTTATAAAGCAATACACTATAGTTGGGGACCATTTGTGTTCTTTACCCTAAGTTTTAATTATTTGTTGTTGTTTTTTCATCTTAATTTTCGTTACTTGGCTATTTATTGAGAAAAAATATGCAAAAAAAAGTTATTAATTTTATTAAAAAAATAAACATATTTATAATCATAAGTGTAAACTAAATATATACTTGTAATATTTATTATAAACGATTGACTCTAAAAAGCTAGTCATTCGAGTTTATATAAAAACAATTAAAAATCCATCTACAAAATTTGAATATAAATATATATACGAACAAGTCTAATTACAATAACCAAAGAACCAGGGGCGGATGCACTAAGTCCCATAGGGGTCAAGTACATCCTATTATTTAAAAAAAAATTAATATAATATGTTAAAGAAAAATGGAAAAATAAAAAAAAAATTAGACCCCATTATTTTAAAAAAAAAGGAATTAAAATTTTTGACCCCATTTATAAATTTTCGGATCCGCCACTGCAATGAAATATAACAAACGATCAAATTATGTATAAATTATCGACAATCATAAATCGAAATCAATATTAAATATAGCATTTGAGAAAATATAGTTAACTGATTGATTAAACTATTTATCTTTTTTCCTTCGTATTCTTTTAAATTATTGATTTTGAATTTATTAAAAGTACTTTTTTTTCTTGTAAATGAATTTTTTTTCTCACTTCTTTGTATAAAATTAGAATTAAAAAATATAAAAAATGTCATAGTAGCAATTAGATTCAAAATCGAAATGGAATTATAAATTTAATATGTTGACCATGCCCAATTAAGTGGTGGAGGGACCATTATATTATGAGGTTTGACCTTGACTGACTAGGACACCATTAAAGCTTCAATAAGAAGCTCACTACACATGCTTCACCCCTTTCATTGCTCCTAACCGCCTTTCCCTTCACTTTTGTTTTAATATTAATATTATTATTATTACCACATGTTTTGACCATTTTTTCTCTCCCAATTTTTAAAATTTCATATTGATTAATTATGATTTACTCGAGTCAAACATTTAATTTTAGTGGATGAGTCTTTTGACGGAGATTTTTTTGTATATATAAACACTCAAACTCGAAATTTACTTAAATAATATCAAATTACTTACAACTTGAACCAACCTCGGTTAATTTTGACCAATTTTAGTTGTAACTCAAATCTAAGTTCGATATCCTCCCTTGATGTAGTTTCATATACTTTATTTAAAAGATTATTATTTAATATATAAATTATTTATTTTACTTCTAAATCTTGAAAATTTAAAATTTAAAATTTAACATTATAAATCATGAGATCTAAAATTATAACCCTAAATTAAAGATTTTAAACATTAAACCCTATAAATAACATATGTTATTATAAGTAAATTATGTGTAATAAACTTTCACAAATTATGTATTAAAAATTAAAATTATCATTACGTAAAAAAACTTATAGTGTTGGGTGGTTGAAATCCTTTTAAATTTCTCTATCATGGTATTGATAATTATGATTCTCAAGATTTGTGTGCAATTCAGATCTAACAACCACTGGACCAACAAGAAAACAGAACATTCAATTATTCAAATAACATTTATATGTACTTTAAACAACAATAATTTCAACTCAAACAGCAATTTTCATATACTATATGATATACTCAGCAGGTAGGCGACCCAGTTAATATTATCATTCTTAAAAATAATCATTTGATAGATTTGGGGGGGAAAAAGTAGATAGAAAAAGTTTGGTAGTCATTTTTAGAAAATAATTTTATAAAATAAATACAAAAAATAAGTTTGTAGGCTCCCTTAATATTCTATATATTTTTATTAATATAAGATGATTATAAGTAATAGTATCATTTAAGTAAGGTTTATGATTCGAGTGGTAAACAACTTGAAATCGTTTAAGTAAAGTCTTAGTTCGAATATTTATTTATGTAAAAAATCCCTACATAAATACTCATCTAAAAAAACCCAGATTAATACAGTTGACTTACCTTAATCTCTGAATTTACAAAATTAATCCTATCAAATCATATTTGGGAGAAAATTATCATCCCTACCATTACTAATTTGTATCCTATAAAGTAAAATAAGACATATATATATATATATATATATATATATATATATATATATATGCATTGTCAGATTCTATTCTAAAAAGAAAAAGAAATTAATAATTGCAGAGTTAGAAAATCAAGACAATAAATGAGGAGAAGACTGAGAAGAGGAGCAGAAAGCAAAAAGACTGAAGTTTCTTCTTTGATTTTTGTTCTTCAGAAAGAAAGAGAGAGAGAAAAAAAAAACTCGAATGAGTACTCTGTCTCCTTTCACTAAGCCAGCTCATTCCTTCTAATTTACAGATTAAAAGAGACTCGAAGCTTGATTCTTTCACTCTTGAAGTTTCATGACCCGTCTCAAATGAAAAAACCCATCTTTTTCTTCTTCTCCAAATTGACGCCTTTCTCAAAGGTAAGCAACTTTCTTCAAAACCCTTTTTTTATTTTTTAGTTTCTTGAGATTCTAAGATTTGGGTACTGTCGAGGGACTAAATTCTTGTAGTTTTCTCATTGGCTTTCGGTCAAGTTCTTTTTTTTTGGGTGTTGGGTTTTGATATTTTTAGCTTGTAAACCATTTTAGCTGCTGTTTTTCGTGTTGTTGTTTGAATTGGAATTCCTTGGTTAGTTCTTCATTTATTTCCCTCGTAATGAATGTTAAAATCTGCATTTACTGCTTTACACTCTGGAAGGGGGGGGGGCTTTTGAGCATTTTGGACTATTGTTTGGGTTTGATGGAGAAGTTGTTGCTAGTTTATATTTATTACAGTTCATTAGTAACTTCATATTTTAGTTGAATTCACAATTATACTGACATTAAGTTGTAATTATATGAAGATTTTTTTCTCTAAATCTCCGGTGCATCATAGCTTAATATTGAGCTTTCCCTTTCATGCATCTTGAATCAAATTGGATCTGATCAGAGTGATTTTTCCTTGTGAAGTTTTTTGTTCATGAAACAGATTAATGAAAATGATGATTGTGAAGTTTTGTAAAATAAAAAAATGGCTGTCCCTTGTTCCCATATGTAATGGGGTAAGGGGAGGTAAGATAGTAGGCTGCCTCCAACACTAGGTTGAGAGCAGCTTCCGTAGGAGACCTCCGAATTATGAAATGCCTTCCGTGGGACTCGATCCACGACCTCAAGGTTAAGAACCTTGTGCTCTATCAACTGAGCACCAACTAAGCACCAACTAAGCACGATAGTCATCTCTGAAGTTTTGTAAAATAGTCACTGAAATTTAAGTCAAAATTTCTGGCGGTTTCCTCCCTCCCCACCGAAGGTTATAGAAAGTGCTAGAAATGATGTAAAATAATTGATGCAAGTCAAAGGGGCAAGGGGTGGTGCTCCAAGGTATCTAGTTTTCGCCTTTGGGTGCTTGTTCATATGGGAGTCTTTTTCTTTTGATTTATATCTTTAGCAATCAAGTTGTTTTGTGATAGAAAATCGATACCGTACCTGTTTTCAGGTGTCAGATATGTGTTTGATTTAAGTACATTAGGAAAATCAAAGGTCGGAGAAACATAGCTGACCGATATGCTAACAGCGGTCTGCCTTTGTGCTTGATTGTTTTTGCAGAGTCGGAAGTCACTTTTATGCTCGTAAGATTTTATATTGCATGGCATTGATCATTGGGGCTGACTTCGCTGAAGATGGAATTATTTCGTGGTTTTCTTATATTGACTTGCTTTCTTTCTTTTGTATCTGCTAATTTACAAGGTGCGCAGTTATTCCTTGTTTGACCTTTTCTATTTTCATCGAACTTATGGATTTCTATGCATGTGTGAGCGGAATGGGAGATAATATTTAGGCCTGGTTTGGCCTGAGGGGGTTATTTCTTCTTAATTGGATCATGACTATTAGTATCTTCTCTTTCAGGAGACGCTTTGTTTGCATTGAAGACTTCACTCCATGCCTCACCTGATGAGTTGAGAGATTGGAATCCCGATCAAGTTAACCCTTGTACCTGGTCAAATGTTATGTGTGATTCTAGTAATAATGTCATTTCTGTGTAAGTAATTAGTGTAACTTTTTCCCTTCCTTGACTATGAGTCTATGATTCATAGTCGCAACTCGCAAATGTACGCATACATGATTCAATTGTTTATGTACTTATATAAATATGTTGTTGTCCTTATATATCATAATTGTGCATTCAGGACGTTGTCATCCTTGAACTTCTCCGGCACATTGTCCCCTAAAATAGGAGCTCTGACGACTCTTTCATCACTGTAAGTATTAAACATGTAAATATTCAATCAAATAGTTGATTTCTATAATTAATGTTTTTCATTCGTAGACATTTTCGGAGGTCATTTTCTTGATTTCCTCATTCAAAACTATTTATTCCCGATGCTGCACTTGAGTGTACAGTTCATTATAGCAACGGGGTGAATCTTTTTGTGTTAACACATCAACGTATTCTGTGTGTTCATCATACAGTACATTGAAAGGAAATGGTATAACTGGTGAGATTCCAAAAGAGATAGGGCACTTGTTGAGCTTGACCAGCTTGGATTTGGAAAGTAATCGTTTAACTGGAGAGATACCTCCTTCTCTCGGTAACCTTAAGAATCTCCAATTCCTGTAAGCAACTCCGTTTATGTTATTTCGTTTGAGGTTTTTATTTATTTCTACCTGTCTTGTGTTCATTGTAAGGCATTCGCTCTTTCATGCAAGCAGGACACTGAGTAAGAACAATCTTACTGGGACTATCCCTTCGTCGATTTCAAATCTTCCAAAGTTGATCAATCTGTAAGTATTAAATGCCGACTGCTATCTGATTGCATAGGAAAACAACACTTCATTGACTACACCTTGAGTTTTGGATGAAATGGTCAATGAATTCCAAGTTAGTAAAGTTTCAAACTTGAACATATGAGGAGCTGTTTCTCTTCATGTTTTTTAATGTCACTGATGGCTTGGTTAAACTGTTTCTGCAGCCTGCTCGATTCAAATGATCTTAGCGGTCAAGTTCCAGATGATTTATTCCACATTCCGATTTACAAGTATGGGTGTCTTTGATTAGTTTGTTTCATTTCTGATTTTAATACAAAGAAATAAAAATATCGTGAATGGCCGTTCACCATACGCCCCCCATTCACAAATATTTATCTGCAGTGAATTGAAGCTAACACTGTTTTATTTATTTCAGTTTTACAGGAAACAGATTAAATTGTGCTGGAAATTTCCCGCAGAGTTGTGTATCGAATGGAAATGATTCAGGTAATTGGATTAACTATTTCAAGTGAATTACATTGTTTTTATAGTGTTCATCGGTTTCAAAGATACCCCTTTTAAAAATACTTGCCACTTTGATCAGCTATCTCAGAGACTTCTCTTCTTTTGCAGGTTCTTCGGGGAAGTCGAAGGTTGGAATTATAGTTGGAATCCTTGGCGGGTTTATAATTCTTCTTATCTTTGGTGGTTTGCTGTTTTTCCTGTGCAAGGGTCGCCGGAAAGGCTACAGGAGCGATGTATTTGTAGATGTTGCAGGTGAAGTCGACCGAAGAATTGCTTTTGGTCAACTGAAAAGGTTTGCATGGAGGGAATTACAATTGGCTACTGACAGCTTCAGCGAAAAAAATATCCTTGGACAAGGAGGTTTCGGGAAGGTTTATAAAGGTGTTCTTTCTGATAACACAAAAGTTGCAGTTAAGAGATTAACTGATTTTGAAAGTCCCGGAGGAGATGCGGCTTTTCAACGTGAGGTCGAGATGATAAGCGTAGCTGTTCACAAGAATCTATTAAGGCTGATTGGCTTTTGCACGACACCAACTGAACGCCTTTTGGTCTATCCATTTATGGAGAACTTAAGCGTGGCCTATCGCCTTAGAGGTACTCGATATTCAAAATTTTTATTCAACATGATTTTGTTACAGATAATTAAGCTCTTGATCTTGAGATTTCTGAAGAAACTAGTTGTTCAACACTTCATTTATACCGCCCTTCGTACAATGTGTGAATAATATATATATATATATATATATACACGGAATTGCTGTAGAGCTCAAACCCGGCGAACCTGTTTTAGATTGGCCTACAAGGAAAAGAATAGCCTTGGGTGCAGCACGAGGGCTGGAATATCTTCACGAACATTGCAATCCGAAGATCATTCATCGGGATGTCAAGGCAGCTAATGTATTATTGGATGAAGACTTTGAAGCCGTTGTTGGTGACTTTGGCCTTGCAAAGTTGGTGGATGTGAGGCGGACAAATGTTACGACTCAAGTTCGTGGAACAATGGGTCACATAGCACCCGAGTACTTGTCCACGGGGAAGTCATCAGAAAGGACAGATGTATTTGGTTACGGGATTACGCTTCTAGAGCTTGTAACAGGTCAACGTGCGATCGACTTTTCACGCTTGGAAGAAGAAGATGATGTTTTGCTGCTTGATCATGTAAGATAACTCGAAATCTATTACCGTGTTTTCTTTTGTATATGCCTAAGTGCACGCCTTGACAGAGAACAACTCGATGTTTGTTTGTGAAGGTCAAGAAGCTTGAAAGGGAGAAAAAGCTGGATGCTATTGTAGATCGGAACCTTAATAAAAACTACAACATCGAGGAGGTCGAGGCAATGATCCAAGTTGCATTGCTCTGTACCCAATCTTCACCCGAGGAGCGTCCGGCAATGTCGGAGGTGGTAAGGATGTTGGAAGGAGAGGGGCTGGCCGAGAGATGGGAAGAATGGCAGCATGTCGAAGTTACCCGTAGGCAAGAGTACGAAAGACTTCAAAGGAGATTCGAATGGGGAGAAGATTCATTATATAATCAGGACGCGATCGAGTTATCGGGCGGAAGATGAGGTAAAGATTTCCTTGGAAAGTATGCCGAACATTTAGGGGCATCAGTGTTTTTATATATCAGATGCATTTTTTGTTATTGTAATTCTCTCCTTTCTTGGCATGTTTAATTCGACGATTTCTTGTTCGTGTTCATATATCGTCTTGTTCGTGTTTATTGAATCGAAGAACGAAATAAAAGAATGGGTATGATCTTGTTTTCCGGTTAATTTTTATCCAAATCTCAACAAGTAGCTAACACTGTAATATGTTACAAAGTTTATTGCAAAAGTTGAAACCAAGTACTGTAATTCTCAAAAGACCCAAACTCACGAAGCAAATCATCAAATAAACTATCTTCCAAACAATCTTCCTTCTCCATCAAGTCATCTTCATCTTCCTCCATAGTCAACACACCTTTCAATTTCCGATTCTCTGCTGCTGCCACGATCGCTGGCTCCTCCTCGACCACTGGCATATGTCCTTCGAACAACGATATATGTCCGAAGAGCTTATTTTTCCTGTTGAACCCGTCCCCGCAACTACACTTCCACTTCTTGACCTCTTCGTCGGCGCCACAGTGCTTCAAATGAGCCTTCAAATCGGCCAATACAGAGAAACTCTTCTTATGACACCCATTGCAGCTATACATTTTCGGGCAATGGCTTCTCTTGAAATGATTCCTCACGCAGATAACCGATTTCAACGGCCGGAACTTGAGATGCTTCTTGTTCCTATTGCACCCGTCGTACGGGCACGAAAACCGGGTACTCCGACCTGGATTCTTCGCTTCCGATTTCTTCGACAGCGCTTCCGTAGTTTTGTACTGATCTCCGTGAGCCCTCATGTGCATCCGTAGATTCGCGTCGCGTTTGAAGCCTTTGCCGCAAATTTCGCAGAAATGTAAATGTTCCGCGAGCAATTCGACGGCGTCTAGCTCGATTATCTCGGAATCTCCTCCGTCGTAGTCGTCGAACTTGAGTTTCAGCGGTTCAGGAGACGGGTTTGGAACCGGAGCTGGATCCGGGAAATGGAACTTTTTGGCGCAAGAGAGGAGAGCGGCACCGTTGACGATGATTTGGTGGACGGAGGCGGTGATTTCGGAGGAGACGAGATCCATTTGATGTTTGGAGATCAAAGTGTTGGTGTTGACCGATTGAGAGAGGAAATCTTGTAAAGAGTCCATCCTCATTTTGACCGTCGACAGGTTTTCGAGCGGGACACGTAGACCGGCATCGAACATCAGAGCTTGTTGTCGGAGAGAGGGTGCTCTGGTGACGGGAGATTCCGACGATATTCGAAAGGGGTCTCCGGGATTCGACATATTTTGTTCTCGGGGAACTGAAAGTTTTGCTAAGCTTGTGCTGGGATGGAAATCGATAGATATCTGACAGACAGTTATTAATTATTTAGATACTTTTTGGATAAAAACGCCGGGAGGGAGTCAAGACAAACTTAACTGATAAAGGCTTTTATCTTTTTTATTTATCATTTAACTTTGAAAAAAAAACACGAAGAAGCAAGTCGAAAAAAATGTTATATTATATTTTTATATTTTTTTTAAATTATATTATTAAAAATATATTATTGACAATTATACATTTTTAGAAATATATTTTTAAATATAATATAAGATTTTTATAGGTTTAAATTTAATTTTGAGTTCGAGTTTGAATCGAGTTTGAACTTGAATCGAGCTCAGAATCGAGCTTCAATCGAGCTCGAGTCTCGATCTTCAATCGAGCTCCTGAATTTTTTTGAGTTTGAGCCTTTTCGAGTTCGAGTCTAGTTTCAATATTATATTTTGAGTTCGAGTTGAGTTTTATAATTTTTAACTCGCGAGTTTTTGAGTCGAGTCGAGCATAATTTTAAACTTTTCGAGTTCGAGTCGAGTTCAGTAATACTCAAACTCGGCTCGACTCGACTCGTTTACAGCCCTAATGGGCACCATATTTAGTCACCAACCTATGAGTTGTTTTTTTGGTTAATTTTAATCATTTATATTTTTAAAATATTATAAAATAATTAATAAATTTATAAAAAAAAGAATCTATAAATTTATAAAAATATATTTTAATCATTTAATCCTCAATTATCAACCCACGTTACTCTAGCAATGTCTCATTTGATCTTGTAATTCTAATTAAAATTTAATTTCATATATTTTAAATAATAATTTTAAAATATTGTAAAAGTTATAAAATATAAAAATATAAAATCAGTTTTTAATTATAATTATATTAATAATTTTCTAAAATTATACAAAACTAAAAAAGTATTTAAAATTCTAATTAACAATAATACTAATTATCGCAATCGATTGTAATATAATAGTATAAAATTCAAACATTTCAGTAGAACCAACTAAATTGATTATGTATATTGATTTTTTATCATTAACAATGCGTCAATGCCCATGTGTAATAATTGATCTGTAATTAATCCTCCTTAGTTTTCAGTGATATAAAATATGACAGATCATTGTCAATTATTTTATTTGCATTGGTCAAGGATTCTTAAAATTTTTATTTGCATTGATATAGAATATGACACATTTCACAATAAAGGCTAAATTTGAAAGGTCAGATTTAAAGTGTCAGCCAAATCCAATCTGCAGAGAGGTCGGCGGCGCCAGTAGCCGCCGTCAGGTGATTTTCCAAGAACCTCAGCATCTGTCCTTAATATCATATAGACAAACTAAAGATCCATCATGTAAGTAAGCCCTAAGATATTGTTATTAAAAAAACCAGCTTAGACAATTTCATTTTAAAGGCTTAATACAAAAATAAATATCTAAATTATGTCTCAAAATACATTTTAATGTTTAAATTTTTTTTTATTGAAAATATGTATACTATTTTTTCGTTATAATTTTATATGCATATTGATATATTTTAAATTTTTAATAATAAAAATATTATTTTTTCAAAAAAGAAAAATCAAATCAAATTTTCCCTCGTTATCCTTCTCCCTCCTGTTGCCCTACCTCTGACGAAGAACGGTCACCATAGGTCGGGTTTTGTTTGAAACACAATGGCGACGAACATGTAACGTATGAACAGCTGTAGGCATCAAAATCACCAGAAAACTTAAATGAAAAACTAAAAATCCAATGACCCTTCACGGCATTATTTACGATAATCTGCGTAGTTTCACGGTAGATGGGGCCGACCAACGACAACAAATATAAAATATGGTATTTTTCATTTTTTTTAATTATAATATATTTTTTAAATAAAAATAATTTTTGAAATTTTATATGTGTGACACGTGTCATATAACAACAAAATTTAACTGTTACGATCTAGACACCTAAAAGTGTAACGTTGAAAACTTTAGGAATATATTTTTAGCGAAAAATTCTTTAGGTACCAAATCGTATATAGAGGTATAATTTAGACATTTGTTTTTTTATTAAGCCAATTTTAAAATTATATTATGCAAGTAAACTATAACTTTCTTTGTGTAAATGAAATATAAAGAGTTTATTTTGGTGAAATGAAACTTACCTAAGTGCTAAGCTGGTAGTAAATACATTATCTTCTTTAAAAAGGACAGCCCCCTCCTTGTTGGTCTGGATTTTGAGATGAATTCCCACTGGATTTCAAGTTTACATCAACCATGTATTCCTCTTTTGTTGAAGAAAGAGTTCACATTCCAGGTAACGCAGTAGCTATCTTGCGGAACAGAGGCTGCAATTTAACATTATTCAGTCTTCAAACTACAAGTTAACAAACCGAGAAAAAGGTAAGCACTACCATAACCTCTACATTTATATCAAACACACACACACACACACAGAGACCATGATATACTAGGTCAAGCATGTTAATGTACAAGTAGATCAACAACACATACATGTAATCCTACAACGAGTGAGGATAAGTATTGGATATGTATTTGGATACAATTGTTATATACATAGAGGGGGAATAGGATCCAATTATACAGTGTAAAATAAAAATATTTTATACTAATTTAGGATCACTAGATTAGTGAAAATAGACAACTGATATTAACAATAAGAAATGTGAAAGATATTCAATGAAAAGAAAAATAAGGAAACAATCTCAACCGTATAGTTTCACTAATCCAACGAGTCTATTTTCGTTCATCCAATGATCCTAAATCAGAGTAAAACTAACAGTCTTTTATATTTTGTAAGTGGATCCTAACCCATATATATATATACACACATATTTGTATTTTTCACCTTGATATTGAATCCTGCTTTTGCACTGGTTTCTATGAACATGACTTCAAATTCTTTAGCATTGCTATCTCCTTCCTCTATAGAAACCTGCCTGTTTAGTCAAATAAGGGCAGGCAAATACGATCAGTAAACTCCAGTAATATGGAAACCCAATCTAAAGAGTTCAACTGCATTTCCTACTCATCACTAACCTTTTATCAACGAGATCGGTTTTATTCCCAACGAGGACAGTAATGATATCGCTGCCTCGTTCTGTTCGTACCTCTTCAACCCACTTTGAAGTATTCATAAATTATTGTCTATCTGCAAATAGATAAACCAAATAAGGGATGCACATGTAAGGTTAACGCGTACGTCAAACTAATGACAATGGTTATCAAGGGAGTGTTCGATTAATAAAACATAATAATTATATATGTGTGATATAAAGTACTTGGGTTGGCTGATACTCACTAGCTACATCATAGGCAATTACTGCAACAGAAGAATCTCTGATATAACTTGGAATAAGACCCCCTAAATCTTTCCTGCCCTGCAGTATCCCTGCGGAATCATAACATAAAGCTCAAACACAGACAAGATAATTGGAAAATTGAAAAGTATATGTACCATGAAAACCAAAAGTTATTTTTAAAGAGAATGAAGTAAACAACAGAAATGAACTAGTTCCTATTTCCAAAAGTTGTCCACTACTTCAAACATTCATCGCTGACAGGTGATAACAAATATGTACAGCTCTATTTGGAGCTAATTTGGTGACTAAAATCTAAAAAGTTATAAGATGAAAGCAAATTTGCTTACAATCATTCAACATTTATCAAAATGGACCGAAGCAAACTAAAATTAGCGCTAACCAGAGTTATCCAAGGCTACATTGTTCAGAAAAGAGTGGGTGGGAGGAAGAGAGCGTATTACCAAAGCAGCAATCGAACCGTCCGATCTTCAAGATACATAGTTTTTGACAAAAAATCAATTCCTATTGTGGCCTGCAATTGATTTATATCAAGAAATCATGAGACAATTCTTCTTGTTCAAGGAAAATATGCTTACAAACTATCGATTCAAAATATAAATTAATCATACAAAATTCATAATTCCCTGTACCCTAAATATCAAGTGTTTTTAAAACTAAAATCATTTTGGCCAAGATCAACAACATAAACAACAAGGCTATTTTGATCGGTGACTAATACTCCCGATCATCTAACGGAGATGCAATAAATCGAATACAGAACAAAAGTACGCGCGAAACAGATGAATTTAAGAAACGGTAAAACCTTAATCAGAAAAACCACCTCGAATTGTTTAAGAAAAAAAAGAATGAAAAAATCGACCTGATAAGCGGTGTCGAATTTATCGTACATGAAGCGGGTGATAATGCTGGTTTTGCCGACGGATTGATCGCCTAAGAATACCAGCTTGTATTTCGCCAGAGGAGACACTGTAGCCATTTTTCAATTTCTTCTCTCTTTTTATATAGTAAGCACGAGAAACCACCAACTATCGAGAGTCAAAATCTTTGCGCTGCTTTCTCCTTTCCTATTTTATCCATCCCCCTACATTTTACTTTCGTTCAATTTGCCCCTTTTGAGTTTGAGTTCAGTTATACTGTTTTCTTTTATAAAAAAATCTAAAATGAGAATTAAAAATTTATTACAGGGTTAATGAGAAATACTTTCCCAGCTTACTAGAAAAGTATTAACATAAAGAAACAATTTAATTCTTACATGGATTTTAAAATAAAAAATAATTAATATACGTAAAAGGCAAAAGGTCATCGTTGTCTTATTGTAAATCCAATTTATCATTTTCGTCCATATCATTTTTATATCAATTTAACTTTCGAAGTTGTTTATGATATTCATCTTAGCCCTCGAAATCCGTTTTGACTAACAAAACCAAATCTTATGCATTTTTCAACACTAGTAATTTCCAGATCAACCAAATATTATTGACGTGGCTTGATGATGACGTGATATTTATTAAAAAATAAATAATTAAATAATTAAAATATTTACTAAATACAACGGTTAGAAAAAATCTCAAAAATTTGACCTAATCTCTTAATCTCACTGAAATAAATAATAAAATTTTGAAAATTTATCCTAAGTAGTGTGTTTAATAAATATTTAACATAATCCCTTAATCCACAAACACAGAAGACTCATAATTATGATATTAAAAAATAGTCAATGGACTTCGAGGTTTCTAATGAACACTATAGACAATTTCGAGAGCTAAATTGATGGAAAAAATAGGGACGAAAATGATAAATTGTGTTTATAACATAAGTAACAGTGGCCCTTAAGCCTAAGAAAAATAATTAATGTAATAGTCTAGGTCATCTCCTTCATTAAAATAGATAATTTACCTTGCTTGTCTGAAACTGGTGTTATAATATGAGTAAATTCTCTCTAATAGTTTCTTCCCGTTCGAAATCTCGGAGGCTGTTAAAATTGGTTTTACACAACACCGATGCAGAAGGGTCTCTTGGAAGCCTTCTACAGTGTCAAATTGTTTGATCGGAATTCGCCGTCAGAGATATCCGACGAAGTTGCGCCGAGGATGCTGTTTTTAACGATTGATAAAGATATTACATCTCTAGTAGTTACTAAAACTTCCAATGAAGTTATTTTTGAAGACAATGGCATTTACGCCAACGGTTATTGTCAACCTGATCGGAACGAATTCGATTGCGGGGGTAATTCATACAATTTTGCACTGTTCCAAAATGTCAGACTAACACCAAAGCCTTGCTTCTTTATATTCACAATTCTAAGCACATATAATATGTATTCTTCATTTGCACGCATCTTAAAATGACTGTCAACCCTTTCATTAAAACATGAGAAAAACGAATGGAAACTATAATGATGGGGGCCACTCTGAGAAATCTCCTTACCTGCTTGCAGGTGTTATTAGGCTCCCTTATTTTTGAGTCGGTATGGATATTTCTGGTATATCGAAACGCTACTGATAACAAGTGGAAGAGCCAGGAGACTATACGTCGTCGGTGGTTTTCCTTCGAAAAGGAACTGCAGCATCGCCGTTACAAGAAGTGCTGAAACGACGACAAACCCCTGCTCGCATTTGAGGCAAAATTACCAGCATAAGTGTTCTTGAGAAAATAGTATGTGGCATGGAAACTAAATTCAAACAATAAAATGAAGAGTGGTTTTCACTTTTAAAGATCTCACGAAAACGATCTTTTGAAATCTCTGTTCATAGAAGGTGGATAAGTTTCATCTCTGCATCAGTGCCCCCTCACTCCCAGAGGAGATGTTCAAAGATTTCAAGGCACTTTGCCTACATTACCCACCATCCCTCTTTGATTTCAATACATGGACTTGTAAAATTAAGGAGGTCGATGTCTTGAAACTCGGTATTTTGTTTACTTGATGATTTAAATGCAAACAATTAAACAGCCCCCATATCAACATGCACCTATTTAATCATCAATGTCCCCTTCAATGCCTCATCCTGAGTTTTGACTGTATTAATTTGATGTAGTAAGGCTTACCTTCGTCACACCACCTGCAAGGCTGGTGATAAGGCCAACAAGAATCCCACCAAGAGCATTGGTTACAATCGGAATCTGAAAAGGCAATGAAAATAGTCTTGTTTAAACTTCAGCTTGCATGTACCATGCAAGTTAAAACATAGAAGTATCGATGACTTTTATTGTTGAGGATGTCTACGTGCAGTTTTAGAGTCTGGATTTTGTCTCCCGACCCTTAAGGACATTCTTTAGGGAGATAAAATCCCAGGACTAAAACCACATATGGGCACCACGAGAAGACAAAACCTTCAGGTTGTTGAGGGTTCCGACGGGCAAACGAGATGTGTTGAAAATTCAACAGCACATGCGCTGCTTGAAAAAAAAAGTTGGGAGCTGAATTTTGTTGAATTTTTGGCATGGGAACATTATTTTTAATCATTGGACTTTAGGGTATTTACAAAGATTAGTCCTTAAGCTTCAACTATAAATACCCTTACTCATTTAGCTTCAAAATCATCCCAAATCATTTCTTTCTCCCAATACTAGAGAGTTTTCTTGTGAGTAGTGAGTGTTTTGTAAACACCTGGAAATTTTCTCTCTTAGTAAAAGATCTGCAGCAGTCTGGAGATGTAGGTATAATTGACTGAACTCCGTTATCAATTTCGGGTATTATTTTTTCCGCTTTTATTTCGCATTCTCACTAATCTGGTTATAGGGAAATTACTCGTTCTCGTTTATTTCCCAACAACTGGTAATCAGAGCTTTTGGTTGTGAATTTTGTCAATTTTTTGCGAGGTTACTATTTATTACTATTTACGTGAATAGTGAATTTCGTGAATAGTAAAAATTTTATCGGCGATACGAGTTTGTCGACGGAGGTGTTATAATACATGGCGGTTCGCAGAAATTGTCAGAAACGATCCAAAGAAGCCTGATTCGAGTGGGAGCGATGGCTGCAGACGAAGTGAATGTGAAAATTGAGAAGTTCGATGGTGCAGACTTTGGCTTTTGGAAGATGCAGATTAAAGATTTTATGTACCAGAAAAATCTATATCAACATCTCAGGAAAGCAACCAGAGGGCATGAAGAATGAAGACTGGGCTCTTCTCGACATACAAGCCCTTAGAGTTATCCGATTGACGTTATCCCGCAATGTTGCTTTCAACATAGCAAAGGAAAAGACTACGGCGGGTCTTATGGCGGCTTTCTCCAGTATGTATGAGAAGTCATCGGCCTCAAACAAAGTTCACTTGATGAGACGATTATTCAATTTGCGGATGGCGGAAGGGGCATCAGTGGCTCAACATCTGAATGAACTCAACACAAGCACAACCCAGTTGAGTTTCGTGCAAATTGAATTCGATGATGAAGTTCGAGCTTTAATTTTCTTATCATCTCTACCAGACAGTTGGAATGCTACTGTTACATCAGTCAGTAGCTCGTCGGGAAACATCAAATTAAAATTCGACGATGTTCGGAATCTGGTATTGAGTGAAGAAATTCGACGGAGAGAATCGGGTGAAGCATCAAGCTCCTCAGCCTTGCATACGAAGTCTAGAGGGAGAACTTCATAAAGAAATTCAAATCGTGGCAGATCGAAATCGAGAAGTGAAAAATCAAGAACGGGAAAGAAAGATTTTACCTGTTATAATTGTGGCAAGAATGGTCAATTTAAAAGAGATTGCCGAGCACTGAAGAAAGATACCGTCGCACAGGAATCTGCCAACATGACATAAGAGACAGGTGATGCCATGATTCTAAGCATCAACAGTCCGATTGAATCATGGATCTTGGATTCAGGGGCATCTTTCCACTGCACCCTATGCCAAGAAATCATGGAGAACTATGTCAGTGGTGATTTTGGGAAGGTTCATCTAGCTGATGATGAAACCTTGAAGATCGTTGGAAAATGAGACATCTGATTAAAGTTGCCAAACCAGACCACCTGGAAGGAGCACTCGTCATTGCTCGTGGTAAGAAGACTGGTACTCTCTATGTAACCTCAAATTTAGAGAATATCATTGCAGTAGCAAATGCTGATGGAAAATCAAACATATGGCACCAAAGGCTTGGCCATATGAGCGAGAAAGGGATGAAGACATTTATGTCAAAAGGGAAGCTGTCGGATCTAAAGATGTAGATGTCGGACTATGTGAGGATTGCATCTTTGGAAAACAAAAAAAAGTATGTTTTGCAAAGATTGGCAAGACACCCAAGGCAGAAAAGTTAGAGTTGGTTTATACTGATGTATGGGGACCATCTCCAGTTTCATCTCTTGCGGGCTCACTATATTATGTCACCTTTATCGATGATTCTACAAGGAAGGTGTGGTTTATTTTCTGAAGAAAAAAATAGAAGTCTTTGATACATTCAGAAAATTGAAGGCCATGGTGGAAATGAGACTGGTTTGAAAGTCAAGCGGTTGAGGTCAGACAATGGAGGAGAGTACATAAACAATAGATTCAAAGATTTCTGCGCAAACGATGGGATCAAGATAGCGACAACAGTTCCCATGACATCGCAGCAGAATGACGTAGCAGAGCGCATGAACAGAACTCTAAATGAACGTGCCAGAAGTATGAGGATACATGCCGAATTCCCCAAATTGTTATGGGCTGAAGCTCTCAACACTGTAACTTACCTGATCAATCGTGGGCCCTCAGTTCCTTTGGATGATAGAATACCAGAGGAAGTTTGGAGCAAGAAAGAAATAAACCTTTCACACTTAAAAGTGTTTGGTTGTATTTCTTATGTACACATAAATTCTGCTAAAAGAAGTAAACTTGATGCCAAGTCCAACAAATGTGTCTTTCTTGGTTATGGTGGTGATGAGTTCGGTTACAGGTTTTGGGACTATTAAAATCGGAATATCATCAGAAACAGAGATGTCGTTTTCAATAAGAATGTGATGTACAAAGACAGGTCAACTATAAAATCAAGTAGCTCCAATATCGAAGCTGAAACAAAGGAATTTACTGAGTTTGAGGATATTTCTGGAAATGATGTTCATATCAGTCCTGAAGCAGTTCAAGAAGAACCAGGCACACCAGAACTGGGACGCTCCTCTAGAATTCCTAAACCAACCCAGCGTTATTCATCTTCTTTGCACTACTTGTTGCTGACTGACAATGGTGAACCAGAGTGTTATGATGAAGCAATGCAGGTGGAGGATTCAGTCAAGTGGGAGTCTTCCATGAAAGATGAGATGGACTCGCTTATGTCAAATCAGACGTGGGAATTAGCTGAATTACCACCAGGCAAGAAAGCGCTCCATAACAAGTGGATTTACAGGATTAAAGAAGAGCACGATGGGAGCAAACGCTACAAAGCAAGATTGGTTGTCAAAGGTTTTTAGCAAAAAGAAGGTATTGACTACAATGAAATTTTCTCTCCAGTCGTAAAACTATCTACAATCAGATTGGTGTTGAAAATTATAGCTACAGAGAATTTACATCTTGAGCAGTTAGATGTGAAGACAGCTTTCCTTCAAGGTGATTTGGAGAAAGAAATCTATATGAGGCATCCAGAAGGCTTCATAGAAGCAGACAGAAGGCTTCATAGAAGCAGACAAGAAAAATTTGGTATGCAGGTTGAAGAAGAGCTTGTATGGTTTAAAACAAGCTCCAAGACAGTGATACAAGAAGTTCGATAGTTTCATGAGTAGCAGTGGTTTTACTAGATGTCAAGCAGATCATTGTTGCTACATCAAAAAGTTCGACAATAACTTCATTATTTTATTGTTGTACGTTGATGACAAGCTCGTTGCAGGTTCAGATATGCAAAAGATTATAAACTTAAAGTAAAAACTATCGAAGCAGTTTGCAATGAAAGATCTGGGCGTTGCAAAGCAGATTCTTGGGATGAGGATCAAGAGAGACACAAAGTCAGTGACTTTGATGTTATCACAGGCTGAGTACATCAACAAAGTACTTTTCAGGTTTAACATGCAAGATACTAAACCAGTAAGTACACTTTTAGGTGTTCATTTTAGACTCTTCTAAGAAAAGTTACCAAAGACGGAGAAAGAACGTGCACAGATGGTGAATGTGCCGTATGCCTCAGCAATTGGAAGTCTGATGTATGTCATGGTTTGTACCAGACCAGATATTGCTCAAGCAGTGGGAGCTGTTAGCAGGCACATGAATATTCCGGGCAAAGTACACTGGGAAGCAGTCAAATAGATCCTCAGATATCTGCGGGGTACTACAAACAAAACACTTTGTTTCAAAGGTGGAGATACGATACTGACAGACTATGTAGATGTTGACTTAGCCGGAAATATTAATATCAGAAGAAGCACTACAGGGTATGTCTATACTCTATGAGGTACTGCAGTGAGTTGGATTTCTCAACTACAGAAGATAGTTGCTCTCTCCACAACTGAAGTAGAATACGTCGTTGTTATGGAAGCCAATAAGGAGATGTTTGGCTCCAAAGTTTCTTGGAAGAGTTAGGCAAGAAACAAGAAAACAATGTCTTGTATTGCGATAGTCAAAGGGCTATCCATCTAGCAAAGAATCTGTCTTTTCATTCCAGGACGAAGCACATATAATTGCGATATCATTCTATCCGGTCTCTTCTGGAAGATGAGATTTTAAAACTTGAAAAGATTAGTGGAGCTCAAAATCCGGCAGACATGTTGACAAAGACGATGATTACGGACAAACTGAAGTTGTGTTCAACTTCAGTTGGTATGCTAAAATAAAAGACTAGAAATATTGCTGCATTGATCAATGTGTGAAGACAGATTAAAATCGGTCTTCAAGTGGGAGATTTTAAAATAAAAGACAAAAAAATTGGGGGGCTAAATTTTGTTGAATTTTTGGCATGAAAAAAATATTTTTAGTCATTGGATTTTAGGGTATTTACAAAGATTAGTCCTTAAGCTTCAACTATAAATACCCTTACCCATTTAGCTTCAACTATAAATACTCTTACCCATTTAGCTTCAAAATCATCCCAAATCATTTCTTTCTCTTAATACTAAAGAGTTTTCTTGTAAGTAGTGAGTGTTTTATAAACACTTGGAAATTTTCTCTCTTAGTAAAAGATTTGCTGCAGTTCGGAGACGTAGGTATAATTGGCTGAACTCCGTTATCAATTTCGGGTATTATTTTTTCCGCTTTTATTTCACATTCTCACTAATCTGGTTATAGGAAAATTACTCATTCTCGTTTATTTCCCAATAAGATATACCTCAACCAAAAAGGTAAAAGTCTAACTTGTAAAGATCCCTACCCAGTCTTACATTATTCCTTTCCATATTCCTAAACCCAAGATCATCCCTAATTTTCTCTAAATAAAATAAGATAATTACCAAAGTTAGTGGAGTCCAACCATGAAAAAACCCATTACGTCTAATAGCTTCTCCATCTGGAGACTTGGAGGTACTAGCCAGTAAGCACAAGCTTCCAACAAAAGACATTTCTACGGTCATCAAGTATGCTGAGTGCTTCTTGACCTATAATAAAGAAAATATTAAGAAAATGAAAGAAGATAGGCAAGCCTAGATAACTTGTTGATTTAAAATAGAAAATAAGCTACTTCTTACCTGAGAAGCCCATTGACATAATGCAGAAGCCAGACCGGAAAGTACAGAAGCAACTAAAACAGGGATAATTCCGTAAAATAGAATTTGCTCGGGATCAGCACTGCTAGGAGCTTTGCTAGAACCTTCACCGATGCTTAGAAGAACAGCTGCCATGATCAACAAAAACAGAGCCCCAATTTGTTGAATTGACTGCCTCTGCCTGCATAGAAATGTCTCAAATTAAGCCAAATAAACTCACATATATCCCATATATCATTATTAAAATAAAAATATTACAATAATGCTTCCTATTGAAATATTTGCAATGAAAGCAGAGTCATCAGAACAATCAAATCCAGAAAAATACTAGCCAAATTAATCATTTGAAACAAAAAAGGAGACCAACATATGGATGAGCTTCAGTGAGTGAAATATACAAACATCAACCTAGTTCCTATATTTAAAACGAACCAATTGACAATACTAAAGAAGAAAAATGATGGATAAAGTACCTGTTTTAGGAAAGATACCTTAGTATGATAAATGTAAATAAGGCAGTGAAAATTATTTTTGTCTGGTTCAGCATCGATAAAGTAAGTGAATCGAGATTCCTATAAGATATCTGCAACAAAATGTTTTGAAGTGCATAAATCGTGGCAGGAAAACCGGATGCAGCGAGTGAACCCATCAAAGTCCATTCTTTCACCAGTTTCATTAAACTGCCTTCTTTCGCCATGAGAATAACAGCAAATACAACCTAGTAAACATAAAGGGGATCTCATAAACCTACACGCTAAAATAACCGAAAGTACATATTATTTGTAGGTGTACCTTGGCTATCTCACATGTCAAGACTGATGAAGTTACAATTACTTCCCGACTGAAAGAAAAGAAAAACAAGAAGAACATTATCATGAAAGAAAAGAAAAACGAGAAGATCATTATCATGAATTAAAAGAACTTGGAAAGAAATTTTGTTCAAACGTACTCCAGCTGGTATACAAACAAAGAAGTTGGGTGTCACTGATGATCCATATACATGCTATGCTACTCGAATTCGAGTTTGAAAATCGGGTACATGTATGTGCTTGACACGGATATGTTGGACTGTTTACAGAATTTCTGTCTTTGAAGGATTCTTAAAAGATCATATCTCTATACAGATATCCAAATATGTGACTGACGCAGATACTTTTAGGAAAATGAAAAGACGAAGAATGCATGTGTGCACTGAACAAGCGCTTGGATATTTACCATCATAAACTGAACTTACATCATCCTAGCATTGCAAACTTTAAAAGATGGTGGCATTACATTAAGCAATTGATGCCGATGAGGATATCCAACTACTAATGGCATAAATTTAAGAAGAGAAAAAAAGAACTAGGAAAAATCACTCAACAAATTAAATCAAATTATATAAAATCATGCAAGTAATTGATTACAATCCACGGCACATAATTAAATATTAGAATTTCGAAGGAAAATATTTGTTACCTGGTGAGGCGTTTGGAGATGAGAGGCTGCATGCCGTATTGAATAATGAGCACAAAGGAGTAAAACCAAATGTGTGGACTCATTTGGCCTGGAATCGGAGCAGAAGCTTCGGGCTTCGTTGCCGCCATTAGTGGCGTCCTTCAGGAAGAATCTCAACGGGAGATTTTTCTCGTTCAGCGTCGCAAAGGTCGGTCCTCGCCTTGCTAATCCAATGGTCTTGCTGCCGAATTACTGAGATGAGATCGGAGAATGGCTCTACCTTTTTCCTTTTTTTTGTTTCGAGTTACTCTTTCGAGCCTTCGGCTCTCTGCTGAAGTAAACGACTTTGTTTTCTTTCGGGTTCCTCGGTTTTAACCGGATTGAAGATTTTAGGTCAAATCATGAAATTAGTCCCTGTATCATATACAAATTGTACATTATATCTTTACATTTTGATTTGATCAATTGTAATCTATATATTTTTAGTTTTGAAATTTTAGTCCTAATCTGAAACATGACAATTTAAATTGATCTAATTAATAAAAATTAAATTTATAACTCACGTATTATATAATGATGAATAATATTATTTAATTTAATGAATTTCAAAACTATTATTGAAGTCATAATAAAAATTTTAAAAATATAAAAACTAAAATTAATTTGTTCATCTGATGTGATTGTAACCTTTAATCTGCTTGAGTACAGTGGTTTGGTAACAACGGGTGTTCTTCCCGACTGTATATACTCTTTTACCCCAATTAAATTTGCGAGGTTTTTAACGAGGCATATAATTAAAGTTTTGATATTTATAAATAAATAAATTATTATCGAAAAAAATTATCATATTAAGGTACGTATATTAAATTTATAATTTTTACATAGCACAATAACTAAGTATAGAACTTGACATCGAACTCGATAATTTATTTTTAAATTAATATTCAATATCTTTAAGCAAAAATAATAATTAGATGCTAAATTTGGGTTGTTTTAATATTAATTAAAACTAAATATATTAAAGTTAATTTGATGAAAAGATCTCTTCTGTTCTTCTCGATTTTAATGGGATATATTCACTAAATCATTATTACAAACAATTTACTGTGCTGCTAAGAATTCTCTTACATATAATAATAAATATAATCATCGATATACATATTGTTTTATTAATTTATAAAATTAACTGTCAATCTTTCTGTTTTAAGTTTAATTTGTAATTTTAATGGGAATAATAATTAGATTATTATTTTTATAATAATAATATAGTAGCTTGCATATACTTTATTGTTAATATATATCATTATTTTATTAACGTAGTTGTCTATGTTATTTTATATTGTTTTATAATAAATTAATATAAATACTTTATTATTAAAATGTTATTTCATTAATGTAACTGTATGTAATTTATATTATTTTATAATACATTAGATTTTTAGATATTTTTAAGATGAGATATTATGTCATATTTAAGATGTGCATTGGTCGGGTTAAATTTTCGGCCCACCTGACTCTAAAATTATAAGTCTTAATCCGACTTAAAAATATACACCTTTCACCCAATCCGAGCCCAACCCGAAAATAGAAATCTTCCACTCGACCCGAACCCGACCCACTTTTTTGAGATAAAATTCAAGCCCGACACGACCTAATATGAAATAATATATTTTTTAAAATATCATTTTTATTCAATAAAAATAAGTATATAATTGAAAGAAAAAAATATAGAGGGGCATTTTGCAATTATCCCTAAGGGTGCGTTTGGTTCACGGAATGTAAGATTACCAGTGGGACTAAAATATTACCAGGAAATAGGATTACTGGGAATGTTGTATTTTGTGTTTGGTTGGTTTAGTAGGAATGTAAGATTACCGTGTTTGGTTAAAGGAATAAAATATTATTGGAATGTATATTTGATCAAATTGTCCTTATTATATATTCGTATAATATTACAAATTGTAAAATATTTATATATTTTCTTTAAAAAATTAAATCCATAATATTTATATAATTTTTTTTACAAAATTAAAAATATAAAAAATGTTTATTGAAAGGGTAACATTTTTTGTAACCCCTGAACTTCAAATAAAATTTTAATTATAGACTTTTTTTTTGTAAATCTAAAATAATTTAAGGATAAATTTGTAATTTAACCTTCGTATAATTTTTATTATTCAATGACAGAAGAAGGATATTTTTGAAAAAAATAAAAATTTAAGGGCATTTTAGTCCAAAACGCCGATAATGTTACAATACCTAAGGGAAGGGAGATAATGACATTCCCGGTAATATACGTCAAAAAATCTATTATTGGTAATAAAACATTACCAGGAATGAGATTCCCGGCCAACCAAACATGGGAATGTGGGATTCCCACAATCCTTGAACCAAACACCCCCTAAATATATAAGATAAAATTATATTTTTTCAGGTAGAGTCAGATATTTTTTTATCATAAACCTGACCCGATTGAACATAACCTTAAAAAAACTCGATTCGACCCAATCCAACCCAAAGATTTTTTAAAAAAAATCTACCCAATCAGGCCAGGTTCGGGTCACATGCCCATCCCTAGTCATATTAACATTAAAATACGTGTGCATTGTTATATGAATCACCGTATTAGTAATGAAATACTTGGCTCAAAATCTATTAGTGTTAAAGTTCAAACCTATCAATGTGTCAACTTAATTTTTAGAAGAGAAACAATTTTGGTGAAAGGAGTGGACGAACTTTGCATGTAGACTAAAATAGTAATATCTTGTTCTCTGAAAATACGAACGGATATTTGCATGGGAATGCTTGATTACCATATAATGCTCTTAATCTTGAAGTTCGAGTCCATGCCAAAAACCAGAAAGGAGATTTAATTGCCACATTTTTCCATTGCAAAAGAAACGCAGAGAGAGTTTCAATGGCAACCCTTAAAGTCCCAGCCCATGCTCCTCCTCCTTCCGAGGATTCCGAGCAGCTTCGTAAAGCTTTTGAAGGTGTTTATTGAATCATACAATTAAGCAGATGCTTCCGGTTGATGTTTGTTTAAACTGAAAGAACAGACATACCATGATGATGAGCTGTTTTCGATGTTCTTTTTTGCAGGCTGGGGCACGAACGAGCAAATGATCATCGACATATTGGCTTACAGGAATGCAGCACAGCGCATTTCGATCAGGAAAGCTTACCATGAAGCTTATGGTGAAGATCTCCTCAAGTCTTTGGAGAAGGAACTTACTCGTGACTTCGAGGTCCCATTTTCGACATGCCTGATCTCTGTGTTTATTTCTCTATAATTTCTGTAGCTTATCAGGGATTTTTGTTCCGTTTCGCCGTTCGGCAGCGGGTTGTCCTGCTGTTTACACTTTACACTGGACCTTGCTGAACGAGATGCACTTCTGGTTAATGAAGCCACAGAGAAGCCCTCATCAAGAAGTTGGGTCATCATGGAAGTAGCTTGCGCTAGGTCTTCAAAGGAACTACACTATGCCAAAAAGTACTATCACTCTCGTTATAAGAAATCGCTCGAAAAAGACGACGCGCACCACTTCAGCGGAGATTACCGCAAGGTTCCGGCTCGGGTTTCTTCTCCCGTGCTTCGATCATTCTCGTGTTTGAATGTTTTGTTCATGATGCTTTCTTGATGCAGTTTTTGGTCCCTCTCGTTAGCGCATACCGCTACGAGGGCGACGAGGTGAACTTGCCGTTGGCGAAATCCGAGGCTAAGATACTTCACGAAAAGATTAAGGACAAGCATTACAATGATGAGGAGGTGATCAGGATTCTATCAACAAGGAGCAGGGCACAGCTAAATCAACTTTCAATCAGTACAATTCTTCAGTCGGCAATGCCATCAGCAAGGTCCGGTTTATCTACAAAATATATTCAAATATTTCTTGCTATGTTCTAATTCAAACTGGATTGCAGGATCTGAAGCCTGAGTCCAAGGATGAATTCCTCAAATTAATGAGAGATGCTATCAAGTGCTTGACTACCCCTGAGGACTATTTCGAGAAGGTTTTACGTCAAGCCATCAATCGAATCGGATCCGATGATTCGGCTATTATCCGATTCGTGGCAACGCGGGCAGAGGTAGACATGGTACAAATCAAGGAAGCATATCAGCGTAGGAACAGTGTTCCTCTATAGAAAGCAATTGCTGGAGATACTTCTGGGGACTATAAGAGCATGCTTCTTGCCTTGATTGGAGCCGAAGACGTCTGAGCCGTTACCGATTTTCGGTTTCTTCTTATGATTAACCTAGTATGCCTTTTAAGCTATGACTTAATGTTTACTTGGCAATGATTTGAAACGCCATGGTTACCGCAGTAGCTGATAAATTATGGTTTTTGCTTAGCAGAGGTAGGTTCAGTGAACTGCAAATAATGTAGCTGGTGCTGGTATTAGCCTAAAATATATGTAAATAAAGTTTACTCATCTGGAAATCGACTGATCGGGTATATTTCGGATATTAAAATTTAAGTTAATTATATAATTCTATGATTCTGGTTTTAAATTGGCCTCTCAATGTTAAAATTAGTGAACAAAAATATTCATTTTGATCCTAAAATCTTCCGTTGCCATAAAATTAGGAGTTTTTTTTTCTTGGAAGAAACCAAGTTATTGAAGCCTTCTAAGTGAGAATCAAGCTGATAATGTAAAAGGGACTTCATGATGTTGAATCAAAATAAAGTAAAAACTCTAATTGATCGAGAAGAAGAAAAAACTCTCTTTTGAATAATCTCACAAAATTACAAAAGGGAAGAACTCTTAAGAAAGCTTTCAAATGCTTATAATTAAACTTTGATTGTTGGATGATAAAACTCAAATACAAGTAGGAT